GGGGCCTTTGTCCTAGAAAAGCCCTGGGCATGTGGTCTTAAGATCCCAATTCAAGTGTCATGTTTTCTTCTTTTTTAGTGGTACGGGCAACAGGAAAGTGTGATAGACTAGCTATGGGTGGGCCTGGTCCTCTGCAGCGATATTGCTACTTTCCCCCATAAAACAGAAGGGCGTCTGTCCCCTCCGTCTTGCAGCTGCAGGGTTATGCTGCACTCTAGGCTCCCTGGAATGTCAGGAGAACCTTCAGAGGACCAGCTAAAAAGTGTTGGTTGAGGGCCGGCCCAGTGGCGCACTGCTACAGTGCGCCGCTTGGGAGCACAGCGGCGCTTCCGCCGAGGGTTTGGATCCCACATACAGACCGGTTCCCGCTCACTGGCTGAGTGAGGTGCGGGCGCAGCACCGAGGGTTGCGATCCCGTTGCCGGTCCCCGTCCGGTACGGGCGCGACACTGAGGGTTGCGATCCGTTGCCGGACACGAAAAAAGACAAAAAAAGGGAAAAAAAAAATGTTGGTTGAGACCACCACTGACTAAGCTGTGTCTTTTATAGTGAGTTGGTTTTACTTGCATCTTCATAAGAAAGGATGCATGNCTAAGCTGTGTCTTTTATAGTGAGTTGGTTTTACTTGCATCTTCATAAGAAAGGATGCATGGGTTGATGTTTAAGGCATTTGAATTCTAGCTGCAACTCTTTGTTAAGTTTCTTGGAAACTAAGGAGACAATGCTAATTTTTTCTTGTTCCAATATTTCATATCTTTAGCTGGAACTGTAACACATTTTCCTTTTCTAGCTGGGGACTGTATGGAGAGGGTGAAGTGTCATTTTATAAGGAGACTTTGACTGTTTCAGAGAACAGACTTGCTAGGAATGGTGATAATAACAGGAATGCAAAATGATGGCTCTCTGGACTTAATTGCTCGTACTTCTTTTAATCTTCTCAAATTCTCAGGCTTTTTCCTCGTATGCAGAAAATGGCTTTTAGGCTGGGGAAGAACGTCAAGAGTGTCCCGCAGGCAGTCAGATCATTCTCCACCCAAACACCCCCCTCAGAGGCAGAGCCAGGTGNGATGGGAAGAAGACCCATACATGTAATGATAACATAGTCCCCTAGAAAAATCTTTAGCCCCCAGAATGTTCCAAGCATTGCCAGAGCCTGGAGATAATGATGAAGTGAGAGTCCAGGGGACCAGACTCCTGGGCAGTGGGGCTCAGGAATTGGGCTCCTTTGCTCCTTCCTCTGGCGATTGGTGGCCAGAGGAGCAGTTACAGCAAAGGGTGTGCACGTATGTGGGGGCTTTTACATAGAATATGAGGGAAGCATGGAAGGCATGGGCTGCTCTGTACAAGGAACCATTTCTTCATTATTATGTTCGGTAAAACTTGGTTAGTAAGAATTTGAGTTTCAGAGCCAGACAGCCCTGGATTTGAGTCCAGACTTGTATAACCTTGAGACTTGGAGAAATTTCTAAACCTCTCTAAGCCTAGGTGTTTTTCATCTGTAAAGTAAGGGTAATGATACTACCTCAGAGGTTGTGTGAGGATGAAAGAAGATAATATTTGTGGGGTATTTAGCCCAATGTCTGGTAGGTATCAATAAAAGGTAAGTATTATTACCGTTGTTATTTATTCAGCAAATCTGACGTGCAAGGATGAGTACTTCCAGAATTCAGGGTTGGAAAAGGGCCACAAACAGAGCTCATGGTGGTGGCCTTGGTGCTGTGAAATGAGGAGGTTGGCTGCACCCATATAGAGCCTCATATGCCTTAGGGTGGGGCCTTTGTCCTAGAAAAGCCCTGGGCATGTGGTCTTAAGATCCCAATTCAAGTGTCAT